CTGCTGCAACTGAGGGGAGCGCTGGAGGAGGATCAGTTAGAGGCCAGGCTTGTTATTTAGTCCAGATGGGCTCAAACTTAAACCACGGGAATTGAGGGAAAACAGAATTTAAAATTTAAAAAAAAAATAATAGTCAGGTCATCTTGGGTAAATGATCAGTAACTTTGGGTTTTAGACATACAGGACGCTGTGGCGTAACATTTGTGACCCCTGTAGAGTTTTGGGACAGACAGTGGTGCCAATTTCATGCATCTGTTTCGAAAAAATTAGGAGTCAATTTAACGAACATCCACAAGTTATCACCAAAGTCCATGTCCTCTATTGTGAAAGTAGCCAAAGATCAGGACCTAAGTTTTCGAACTGATAAACCTGCCTAAAACAGAGCTACAAAAGATCATAAGATGATTTCTGCAGTCACTGATATGGTGTACATTGGCCTGACGTTGACCAGAAAATAAATAAAATGAAATATTTAAAAAAAAGAAACAAATCAACACTAATTCTTATTTTAGTGCTCAATCAAATTGTTTTGTTTAACTAAACTCCACCAGTCCACTCCAATGGCGTGTCAAGGCCTCTGACATTAGGGAGGTACATTTAAACATGTTAAATAACAAATTTTACTTTTTTTCTGCTTTCAAAACTGTTTATTGTTAGCATATTGAATTTAAAAAGTCAACATGCAGAGTCCAGCTCTCTGATTCCATTTCCTAACTTTTGCTCTCACCAACGGCTCTTTACACAGCTAACCTACAAAATGTGTGACTACTTAGAGCTGGTTCACTATCATTATGTCACCACACCCCTCAGACCACCCACTGGCTTTAATAGGCCACTCTGTTCATCTAAAATTCCCTGCCTCTTCATCTGTCTGCTAGTGTGAGCTCAGTACTGGAGGAGAAACATTTTTATAAAGCTTACCCAACTCCAAATGAACAGCTCTTTAAAAAAAGACATCATCTGTAATGTCGCCACACTTTCAATTTTACAGAAATCTTTTATTATATTGTTTAGTTGAGTGGACAAAGCTCTCTCTCGCTATATATATACACATGTTGTCTCAGGTATGATATTATCTGTGGTCCCTGGGCCGTCTGCTACTGATCTCTGCCAGTGAGCAACCAGCTTCCAGAAACCACATGCCTCTTCCACCTCTTCTACTCCCACCTTCCCTCTCTCTAACCTCCCTCCTAACCTCCACCCTCAACTCCATCGCTTGCTGAGCCACTTCTGAACAATTCCAGTCAGTGTTGCGGTCCTGTTTGCCCACCAGTCAGCTGATGACCTGTGAACTTTGACCTCCAAACAAACAACCCACTTTGCGTTTGTGTGATGAAAAACTGAACTTTGATTCGACCTTTAATCAAGAATCTGTCATTCAAATCTTTCGTCTTTCAGCTGTAAAAATAAATAAATAAATATGTATATATATATATATATATATATATATACACACACACACACACATTTTATTATATTATTAGATTTATTATAAGTTGTTTCACATAAAAGCATCAGCTAAATAAATGTAACATAAAGAGATGCCATCACATTTGTAACGTGTTGTTTGTTTGTGTTGTTGTTTGCTAGCACACAGTAAATATCATTTGCTCTTTCAACATGGGGTTGTGTTGGTAATGGGCTAACTGGCTAACTAGCATCTTGAATCTGTCCTGTCGGTCTTCAGGTTTACATTTTTCGGCTCTTGGCAAAAGGCAACATGAGGTAATGCAACAGCAGCCACTGTTGCCACCAGTTACAGGATGTTGGTGTTTGGGTTTTTACAGTCATGTATTTAAACAAAATGTCAGCAGGTTTCAGTAAGGCAAGACATTGTCATCTTTCATGCTACCAGGAAGTAAATGGCAGAATACCTACAGTTGACCTACATCTGAATGAGCATGCAGCAGTTAATTAAAGTTCAGAAACCAGAAATGGGCACAATAATGAAAAATCAAAATTGCATTTACCACTTCAATACTTTTTGGTTTCTTTAAATTTTTTTGTGGATTGTTTCAGATGCTTTAACCTTAAAACTGTAGGTTTGGTGTTGCAGTTCGAGTTAAAGTGAGACTTTCAAGAAAACTGCTGATTTCAAAAGCTGAATCTCACGGCGTGGCTGGGGTTAACGTCCGGTGTGAGGACAGAGGAGAAGAGGTCACAGGTCCAAACAGAGGAAACACTCAGCTGAGAGAGCAGACAGGTTACTGGTGCTGCTCTCCACAATCACCCCTCAGTCTGGGTGAACTCCATTTCACTTTAAACTCCTCACTTTTTGTCCTCAAAGGCATCTCTCTTTAAACAACCACATTTTTTAAACCGGATATAAATCTTACAGAGCGGACCCTGCTATCAACTCCCAGCTATGAATCTGTGTCTATTTACTTTGTGATTATATTCAATCTGCAAGACTTGGTCTGACTCTCACACAGACTCATTCACATTCAACAAACATGCTTGTTGACTCCACTTTTTATTGGGTTTCCCCGTCCTCCTGTTTTCTATTAGGAGGTACTGCAGCCGACAGCTTCACCACAGACAGGAAGAGAGCCAGCCGGAGAGCGGCAGGGCTTGGCAGCAGACACAAACACAGGCAACAGAGAGGATAGAGGCCTGCAGTTACCTGTTCAAAGGGGTTTTTGTGACGGGAAAGGAAGCGGACAGGTGCTATGCCACCCTCCATATTGATGACTATAAACTATAGTAGTCTAGTTGCAATGACATGGACACAAATGAGCCCCAAAGTCTTGGCTGAGACTTACACTGCCTTCCTCTAGAGGGCAGAGTTTGATTCCCTGAGCTCACTTCCTGTCTGTATTAGTCATAATAATAAATCTTCTTAAAAGCCTTTATTGGTCTGATGACTTACAGTGAATGGCTCAATCAAATAGACTGTTCAAGTGTTTGCATGACTCAGACGTCTTGCAGCTAATTAGTAGGTTTCCAATGAATGGAGCTGTGTTCTGCTCAAGGGCCTTTGTTTGGTCTCTGTGCTGTCCTCCCGTCTTTGGCTACGCTTCACAACATCCCATGGCCTTTACAAGGGTTCGGCCCAACTTCAGGAAGCTCAACACCAGCTATTTCCACAGATCCACTACTTGAATCGAACAAAGACAATAGGCTTGGTTGGGATTAACTCCGGGCAGAATGGGATTACACTGCCAGAGTTTGATCAGATATAATGTCAGAAGCAGTGCAACATAAATGTGAGTTGACTGGGGTTTATATAGAGGAGAAAATGCTATCATAGCCTCCTGGATTACACTAAATCTCCTTATTTAAAGCTAAGGGAAATTTGAAAAACTGTTATTGTCCATTTTGAATTTAGAGAAATTGTGTTGTGCATATGAGATGATTGTTGTCATGGATAAATTAGCTTCACAGAAACACATGCAAACCAAAAAGTTCATCAGATGTAATGTATTCTGCCAGTGAGAAATTGATGCCTGTCAGTAAATAATTTCAGTGAAGGATTTCCCATCAGAGCATGACGGTGACTGGCACACACAGCAGGAAGGCTTTATACAAAAAATACAACTACAAGTCAAATTAATAACTTCCTGTTTCAAGTCACGTGGCACTGACTGTGCTGTATGCTCTGGGCATGAATTACTAAGTCTGCTGAGTGTGTGCTGTGTGTATTTAAAGCCAACTGTCATTTTAATAATGGTTTCTGTGTCAACAAACATCAAACCATTCACAAAGAGGAGTTAAGCCCCAAAGGTGTGTACTTTGATATGAGACTTGGTTCATTGGTTTTATGATAAAATTCTGTTAAGTGAATGATGAATAATGTTGCCAGTACAAAAATCAAACTGCACTAAAGGGAAGAAATTTTATTTAGGATGGATTTTTTCGTTGGCTTTGCTAACAGACATTCAGCTAAGTGTGTTAACATGCGGAAACATAGTGTCCACTGCCCAGCTTCCGGTCTCCACTTGTTAGCTAGCCTTAGCCACTCTGCACTGCATCAGGTGGGAGCTAGTTAGCAGCCCCACTCATTTAATGATTACCACTGGTACTCACTGCAGAAACATGTTGGCTGCCCTCCAGTATCTCCCCAGACCATCCTGGTGAGTAAGCAGCTTCATTTTGAGCTGCAAAACCCCTTTAGCTTTGATCACTATGTTAGCACCACCAGCCATGCTGTCTCTGCTAACAGTGGTAACAGAGCTAACAGTGATAACATAGTTAACAATGCTAAAGCGGGTTTGCAGCTCAACATTGAGCTGTTTACTCACCGGGGCAACCTTGGGGGAGCCCAGAAGACGGGCACAATGTTTCCACAGCAACACTGGCAGGTCGGGATGGCATTACTAGTGGTAATTGCCGAATGAGCAGCCCTACTAGCTAGTTCCCACCAGACCAGACCCGGTGGTGCGCAGTGCAGTAAAATCAAGAGCCAGAAAAATTAACCTATGTACCAACATGCGTAACCGATTAACAGTTAACCGGTTAATCGCTGACATTATTGACCCTTTTTAGAAGTAAACATAACCATTAGACTTTAAATAATAAACATAACTTAAGACTAACAGTTATGTTTACGAACCTTTTTCAAGGCAATCAGTGCCCTAGATTTTTAGGGTAAGATAGGCTTGTCAGATTTCACAGTGCAGAAATGAAACTGCACTACAGTGAATAAATCATATTTATTTCCTGTACCAGTAGAGCTGAGCAATATGGAATATTTTTTCACATCAATATATATCACAGTTGTGTTTTTAATTACAACTTATTTAAAATGATTACTTTGGACAACAAAAATCTCTAAATGTTAACATGTTAAGCTCATAGCGTCACTATCTGAATCTGCTGACAATGCAAAACATTAAATTCAACATGATTTTGGTATTTTATTATTTCATTTTCTTACCGGTTGCTTATAGGTTACTTGTGGTGAGGGAAAGGGGCTAATAAAGACGTTGATGACACGTGGATGAAAACTTGTGAATGTGTGTATTAGTGCATATGTAAGTGTACGTGGTCATTCGAAGTACCTTGGCCAATCTTGACGAAGCCGATGATGATGATGAGTGCGAGTGCCAGGAGCTTGGCTGCGGCAAAGAAGTCCTGCACTCTGGTGGCTGCCTTCACACTGTAGCAGTTCACAAAGGTCAACAAGACTGCGGAAAGAGAGATAAAGACAGAGAGTAAGAGGGAGAAAGACTGCAAGTGCCGGCATCTTTAAGAGGCAGCTCGTCGATTTCTCTCATGAAAAGGCCCCTAACACAATTTGACTCAAAATGAACAAACTGAATTCCGCCACGGCATCTTCTTTGTGCATCAAAGGATATTTTATTAGGCACACGAGGAACTGACTTTTCTGCAGGTGTTTTGATGTTAAAATAGCTTTTAACAATGTTTCCCTGCGCCTTCTTTAATTTTTGACTCACATTTGAGGTAATGTCGGCGAGTGTGCATGCATATGTGTGTATTTGCAGCTCTCAAAGCCCGCTGGGAGCTGGGGAAGAATTCAAAGAGACTAATTGGAATAAAAAAATGCTTCCCACTATACCCCTCTTTTTGTACGTGATGGTAACCACCCCCTCCTGTGCGCACACACACACTCATATGGTTGCTGAAGCGGCCTCTAACCTAACCTTGAACACCATTAAAAGTGATTAACTAAAGCAGCAGGTCCCTTCAAAGCTCCTAAATCAGGTTGGGGCCACAACAGAAAAACGAGACAGAGCACAATGAGGCTCTGTGTTAAAGAGACCATGACAAAGACAGAGGGAGGCAGAGTACAGTAGAGGGATGGACACACATTTAGTTACACATGCACACAGAGGCTGGCATCAAAATTCACACAGGCATGCACACACACAACTGGCTTATACTTGGGCGTGTATGTGTGTACATGTATGCACAAACTTAGCAAGCAAACGCAGGAACGCTCTGATCTCAATTACACAAATTCCTACAGAAAACAGGTCAACTGGAAGAATAACTCTCACAAAAGTGGACCTATGGAGCTGTAGATGCGTGTGCGTGTGCATGTGTGTGTGTGTGTGTGTGTGGAGATTTGGCTCTCAGCCCCACAATGACCCTGACCACCCCACTGCTTACACCGGAGGCATGCACACGCACAGAAAAGCCCGCGTACATTCACACACACACACACACACTACTGAGCCTCTCAGTCTACGGCTTTGTCATGTGGTCTCAGTCAGGATTTAGCCTTCAGTCAATCTGAAGATTAGGTACTAGGGTTACTAGCTGGCACCACATGCACTCACACACACTCAGTATACATGCGTACACCATGGTATGTGTAATCGTGTGTTCAGATGGAGATGCAGCGTATGAGGTGAAAGTGGGGGTACTTGTTTTGTGTGGCGGTTAAAGAAAACATGTACAACCAGAGACTTGTGCTACTGAGTTAAAGCAGCAAGCAAATAATCCGGGGTTAATCTTGTTAAGACTTCAAACAACACAAGTTGAAACACACGCAAATTTACCAGCATTTTTAGCTAACACTTAACTGTGAACTAACTTTTTAAAAAAAAAAAAACATTTACTGACCCCAGCCCCACAGCACTTAGGTTTAATTGACTGCTCTGCTCTGACCTCTTTGTTTATCACATTTATAGCAATTCTCACACATTTTTTGGAAAGTTACTAAATTACACATAAAACACATTATTAATGATAAATTCTCTCTGTTTCTTATAATATATTTGTATAATAATTTAGTAGCCTACAGTGGTTGAATAGGGACTCTAACTACTCCCAGTGATAATTAAACAAAAATAATTAATGGTATATGGGGTTTTCTTTGTTGAATTTGAAGATCTCACCTATTAAATCCAGCAGATGCTGAAGTGGGCCCACCAAATTCACTTTCAATTATTTTTCTTTAGATTTTAATACATTTCATTTCATATTCAAAACACACAGTTGTCGCTTGTAACTCCAGTTCTATCAGTTTGTGCGTAGCCCTCTATCCGGCTTCCCTATTAGTTCATTTCCAGAAATCCAGAAAGTTTGTCATAACAAAAGCAACTTACAGCCTCTGGGCTTAATGTCCTTGTTTCTCTGTTTGAAAGTAACAATTAAAGAGGAACTATGTCCATTTCTAAAATTAATACATGTTGTTCATATGGTCTAAGACAGGCCAAAAATATTAGTAAAAATGACCAACTCTCTCCCAAATTCACAAAATACAGTGCTAAACCTCAAATTTGTGATGTCATAAGGTACAAAGTCTGGAGCTGCTCCATAGATAATGAATGGGGAAAGATGCTCTGGATGACAATGAGAACACTTGGGGAATATTTTGAGTATATGGGTACATTTCTGTTTCAGACCTGAGAACATTACAACTGAATAAAGCTCATTTGGTTAGAAAAAGAAAACAAACATTCTTTGGGTCCTCAAAATCAGCCTCCCATACGGAACAGTTTCAGACTTTGTACCCTACAAGTTTGAGACTTTGAGAGAGAGTTGCTCATGTTCACAAATACTGAATTTCCAAGGCCATGGAAAAAACACACTGGAATTCTTAATTTGGTGGTGTTCCCTTTTAAATAAATGAATTATTATAAAGGATAAAATAAAGAGCATTAAAATAAAACACATCACTAAATACAAATGAGATAAGGTACAAGTAAATTATTTATTTTTTTCATTTTAGTTTTTATTAAATTATAAATTGCACCTAATGGCAGTCACTTAATGAGAGAATTAGCTTGTTGTGGGCGCGAGCATCATTTACCGTCACGCGAGCTGATGTAATCACGCGGCATTTTTCACCACCTTGTTTGATGCTGCGCGCGTGGATGTGTATGTGTGTGTGCGTGTGAGTGTGTCAATGGCACACGTGGAGCGTCATATATCTGCTCATGTAAACTCAAAGTGTTGTATGTGAGTATTGTCAGTGTGTTATTTCATGTGTGTGCCCACACTGACACACAGGAAGTGTCATTTAATTCATTTGCATTCCTACCGGTGCCTGAGCTCAGCACACAACAAACAACACAACAACACCTAAAATTGCATCATCCCGGTAGCATGGCACGGCTCGGATACTCACGGATACAGAGGCAGGCAACGAGCTTCGCCCCGTTCTCCGGCACCGGGCACACGGGGAACAGGGGCTTGAGGAGATAAGTGGCGAAAACGTAGGCGACGATGTACTGCGAGGACGGCCTGATGATGAGCAACTCGATCCAGAGTTTGAGGAAAGCCGGCAGGGAGCCGTACACCTCCAGGATGTAGGCATAGTCCCCGCCGGACTTGCTGATGGTGGTCCCCAGCTCCGCGTAGCAGAGGGCTCCCACTGTGGAGAACACCCCGCACACAGCCCACACCACCAGGGACAGACCCACCGAGCCGACCTCCTTCACCACGCCGGTCGGGGTGACGAAGATGCCCGAGCCTATGATGGTGCCCACGATGATAGCCACGCCGTTAATCAGGGTGATGGTCCTCTTCAAGACGACCCCGTCCTCACCCTCCTCTCCCTTGACGGCGTTGTTAGGGCTGTAGGGGTCGCTTCTCAGTGCTCCACCCTGGTTGAAGTCCCCCTTCTCCCTGCCGCTGCTCGGGGACAGCATCCTCTCTGTGACCTGCTTGTCCTCCTCCCGGTCTGCGGAGGAATTTGAGTTTCTCTTTTTTAACCCTGACATCGTTGACTGAGTTTCCTCTTTCGTTTTCCTCACACAAAGCTTCCCGCTTTCTCGGTGTGTCGCCGGTCTCCTCTTCCTCTGTCTGTCGGTCCGGTGTGTGGTCTGATGCCGGCCGGGCTCAGCCACGAGGAGTCCGCGGTGTGTCTGTTGGTGTGACTCAGAGCAGCGTGTGTTCTCCTATCTCTACTCTATCCGTCTACAAAGAAACTATGGAAACTGTCATGATGGCCCTCCTCCGTCAAGGCCAGCCCCTGCTCTAGCTCGGCGTCTCCTCAATCAAAACTATTACATTTGCTCTTCCCCGCCCTCTAGCGGCGGAGGTCGGTACTGCTTCTCTCTGGCACACCTCACCCTATAACTCCCATCTGATCTGAGTATGACCAGCTGTCCCCACATGATGGACCCCTGCCCAGTCTATATGGCATCACATCTGCAGAAAACACAGGAGCACCACTATACAGCACAGGAGCAGGAAATACTAAAGAATATAGAATCAATCCATTTTTTCTAACAAGTTACCCAAACCAGCTGGACCAGTTTTATGGTGGTGTAATCTCCAAGACAGACTCTGGAAATAGCCCAAGGGGAGCTGACACCCTCCAAGAATGGGAATCCGGAACATCTTGTGTCGTTCATGGATCTGGTCCATCCTCCTTGAAGCCTTGAATAGCAGTTATGCAAATGTTTAAAGTGAAACACCAGCCTAGTAATACAGTAATCGTTTAGCACAAGCAGAGAAATCTGTTCCCATCAGTTTTTAGAGTCGTCATCACCCAGGCCCCCTACTGCTGCCTCCCACTGGTCAACAGTGTCATGTGAAGGATTAACCTCCACTTCCATTGTTTTCCCTTTATAATCATTTCTGTCTGACATCATGAATCATGAATGTGTCCAACACAGCATCACGTCTCCCTGACCTGCCCTCAGGTAAATATAGTGATTGTCCTGAGCTACATTGTTTTTCACTGTTGTGAAATTAATCCACTATAAAAAAAACATCTCAATACAGCCAGGCTGATTTAGGCAGTAACCCACCATTAAACCTGCACGCGTCTGTTCTCGAGGATTATTTGATTAAAGTGTATTTGGAAGATACATATAAGAACTAGTATGTGACTATTTATAAAGGAAAGAGGAGGGGGAAAAAAAGGGGAAGATGAGGGCAAAGGAAAGCAGTGGAGAGAACAGTGAAGAGAGGAGAACAGAATGCACTTGAAGCCTGATTGTTGTAATTGAAGCCTACTTGTATTTTGGAGGGTAGACTGGGTTGTTGATTATTTTATTTGTTCTTTCATGCATGCACACACACACATTAAAAAAACAGTGCATAAGTAGCCTATAAAGTATCAAATGTAAGTACATGGAACAGAGCAAAGTGCAATGTCATTGTTGAAGTGCAACAACTGCTAGGTGTATATAGTATAGATCTTGAGATACCTCAGGCAGACATGTCTTCTGATGATTCCTGTGCACAAATGTACTGTATGTACTTTGGCCTCAAGTGTTCTTCTGGAGCTGGCAGACATATGGAAACTTCCTTGCACGGCGTGCTTTGCAAGCGGACAAAAAAATAAAAGATAAATCAATTCCACAATTCCAAAAACAGGATGCCCTTTTTTCATTTGAGCACCTGCCCCACAAAATGTCTGTGCATGGCATTGATTTCATGTATACAATTCCCAAACTCTGGCCCCTAAGGACAAACCCACAAAAGTCAAAACACTAAGATAAATCCATCCATCTGTTTTGGAAGTCACATATCCCATTTATGGTCACAGGGGACTGAAGCATCATTCTCCATTTGCCAGGTTGGAGGCAGGACACACCTTGAACAGGTTGCCACAGATCTAACAAACCTGCATGTAGACTGACAATCATGTTCACACTCAAACGTGTGGGCGAATTGGAGTCACCAACTCAATGGAGAAAATACAACCGGCACATAGAAAGCCCTGTCCACTCCTCAGATAGTCTTAAAACCCACTTTAAAGGTCCAGTGTGTAGGATTTAGTGGGTAATGTTGGCCAAAATGGAATATAATATACAAATATATTTTCTTTTGTCACTAACAATCACTAATTATAATAATCATAATACAAGAATTATATTTTCGTTACCTTTGAGTGGGCTGTTTATATCTATACATAGAGAGCAGGTCATTGTCTACAGAGATCGCCATGTTGCACTGCCATGTTGTTCTACAGGAGCCCAGAATGGACAAACCAAACACTGGCTCTGGAAAGGGTCGCTTTTTTGCCAAGTGTTGCACACAGTGGTTCGAACAACAAACCTGTTCTTGTTCTGCAGTTGTCAAATTCTGCTGCTTGGTCAGTGATTTTGGCTTCAGACCACAAGAAGCAAAAGGATTTTTTAACTTTTGAAACTACTTTATTAAACTAAAACTGCATTGTTCAGTGTTGGCTAGCAATCAACAGTGCTAATCCCATCAACAGTGCTAACAATAGAAATTGTGTTGATAGAGCTAACAGTGTCAACAAGGGGGGAATCAGGGGGTGGACACACACTTTTACAACAAAAGCATCATGATATCAGCAGTACCTACCATATGAACACAGTGCAAGAGAATGTGTACCAAGTATAGAATGCTGCAAATAAAAAACACACACAAGATAACATATAGAAGACAAGAGCTCCACCAAATGAAAGTGAAGTTGCCCCCTAAATTCAGAGATTTAGGAGTGAAATATTATTAAAATACAAATACAGACAACAGAAATGTGCAGTGTGAGAAGAAACATGAGGTAGAGTTTGACTTTATGCTTTAATTCTTTTACTTATTCCTTCTGATGTATGTGTTTTTTTCCCTTCATCGTAATATTTATCATGTAATACTAATTTTTAAATGGTTTGTAGATTCTGTCATTCAACGGTTCAGTGTAAGACTTTCTTGTACTGTACTTCAGGGTTTGAATAGGCAACAAAGAAATGAAATAAGATACGGACAGAGGAGCAGATAAGTTTTTATGTAACAAAGACAGTGATCCCAGGGCACATTCAAACACACAACAATGCTGGTAAATGCTGCATAACCAACTGCACCCATCAGATGCCCCAGATTTGTGATGACACAACAGGGGAGGAGGCTTCTTGGGGAAAGGAGTGGCTGAGTGTAGGGCGAGGTTTTGAGTGTGTGGTTGGAGTGTGGGCGGCCCTGCCTTTAGTGCCAGACTTTTAAATTTGAGAAGGTGGTGTTTGATATTGCGGCTGAGTTAAAAGTGAAAGATACAGACTCACTGCAATTTGACTCCTACAGCTGACTCTCAACCCATCACTGCGCCAGTCCCACAAGATCACCAACTGGTACACATTAAACCTCAACTAACCACCATGGGCCATTTTGGGGTTCAAATTGAAAGTACGGTTGTGTCCTCTTTGTCTCATATCACGGTGAGACACACACAAAAAGCCTATAGGGTAAATGAATAGTCTCATAGCTCTGTAGAGGTGGACTATGAAAGCCCCCCTGTGAGACAAACACACAAGTCTGAGCTGTGGATTTAATACTTCTGATACATACAAATACATCCACCAACACACACAAGCACACACATGAGCCACAGACAGACAATTTCCTTTGTTCAGACTCGGTGGACACGGTCCACATTTATTGGCAAGCCTAAAGGTGCGTCCTGATATTGTCTCAGTCCGTCTACACAAAGCCTGAAGAATGCAGGACTTTCATGTTAGGTTGAGCCACAGATCCAGAGACACAAATATACCTAAATCCATGTCTGTCATCTCTGGCTCGTCTAACTGTGTCTGTCTGTCTTTGTGAACCTGTGCAACGGCTCCCGAGGACCCCCAAGAGACATGGGAACAAATGAAGATTTTCTTTTGCTCACTGTGGGAGGCTGACTTTAAAACATAATTTCACATGCAGCAGTTTGATGTTCATTGCACTTACTGCAGGCCAATTTCCACGCACAAATTAAACTGCAAGGGTCAAACCCCTGGTATGTGGAGTACAATGTTACACTCCTCTTGACTCTTTCCCTGGAGTATGAATCAGTAATGATTTATGATATTTCAGTTGATTGTAATAAATCATGCAATCAGTTTATTGCTGTGTTGAATTAAATGATCAGTGTTTTTGTGGGTTTGGATGATGGATACATTTTTATACAGAGTGACTGAATCAGCTCACAGCAGTCATTAAAAGTAGTTTGGACCCTAACAAACTCTGCTAAAGACCAAGGACCATGCCCTATTTCTCTGTGCCATAGAGCTTTATTGATGTCAGTCAGTCAGTTCCACATACAATGTCCTGCTGCTGTAAATACTCAAAAGCGCACCAAACATGTATTAATCCACAACTGAAGATAGTCCCCAACAAATGTACTCTTTACACTTGTTTTGGTAAAGTTTGCTAAACACTACAGTGACCAGCTGTTTTAGCTGGGAGCCTTTGTATGCCTCCACTCCAGCAACAGCCATGGCCAGAAGCATCATGTTTTCAGGTTTTGTCCAAACGTCTGTCCCATTCTCGTGAACCCCACATCTCAAGAATGTCTGGAGGGCATTTCCTTAAATTTGGTACAAACGTCCACTTGGACTCAACCATGAACTGACCTCACGAAACATGTTTTGGGCCTTAACTCAAGAATTCTTATGTTAATGAAGACAAAATTTCACTGATATGTCTAACAGAATAATAAAATGATGACATGATGACATTTTATATCCAAAAGGTTAAAAGTCAACTTCCCTGTGACATCATAATGTTCTGCAAAGACACTTTTTTGGCAGTTATTCAACATCATATCTCAGGAACAGAAGGGGAAACATTTGGTCAAATACTGAATTAATGATACTAGTCTTGGGTGTCAGTCTTCAAACTGCACTGACTGTATAGATCTTCTGTGCTGCTGGGGAGAAGATGAAGCATCCATCATCCTATCCCAGCTGACACTGGGCAAGAGGTACACCATGGACAGGTCGCCAGACTACCACAGGGCTAACATGTAGAGACGGACAACCATTCACACTCACATTCACACCTACAGACTATTTAGAGTTACCAATGAACCTATCCCCAACCTGCATGTCTTTGAACTGTGGGAGGAAGCCAAAGCACCTGGAGAAAACCCACGCTGACACAGGGAGAACATGCAAACTCTGCACAGAGGGGCTCCCTCCTGGGATTGAATCAGGAACCCTCTTGCTGTGAGGCGACAGTGCTAACCACCACACCACCATGCCACCTTACATGGAACTCATTGACGATAATAAAAATATAGAATAATGCCAGAT